GCCGGCGGCCACGCAGGCGTCCAGGCTGTCGGCCCGCGCCTCCACCTCCGCCTTGATGCTCTGGTGGGTCTTGATGGCGAGGTCGGCCGAGGACACGTCCCTGCGCGGGGACCGGCAGCGGGGGGGCGTCGGGTGGCGGCCGCCGGGCGCCCCCCATGCCCACGGTGCCGCCTGACGCCCCCCATCCCCGTGGTGGCCCCCCATCCCCGTGACACTGCCGGGCACCCCTGCATCCCCACGGCACCGCCTGATGCCCCCATCCACGGCGCCGCTCACCGCGGCCGCTCGCGGCCCTCGATCTGCAGGCGGACGCCGTCCATCCAGAGCGAGAGGTCGCGCGCGGTGCGGCAGAAGCGGAAGAGCTCGGCGGTGTCGAGGAGCAGGCGGCGGCGGCGCTCGGTGCCGCGGCGCAGCGCGGCCCACGCCTCGCTCACGGCGCGCTCGTGCCGCCCCAGGTCGGCCGCCTTGTCGCCGGCGTAGGCCTTCTGCAGGCGCACCGCGTCCTCCTGCACCTGCCGCACCTGCGGGCGAGAGCCGCGGCGCGCCGGGGTGGGCGGCTGCACGTCGGGGTGCGCCGCGACACACTGCGGGGTGCAGCCGCGCAGGATGCGCAACCCCACGGGACGCGCGACTGCACGTCGGGGTGCGCTGCGTTGGGATGTGCTGCATTGCGTGGGGAGGTGCAACCGCATGGGATGTGCGACTGCACGGGACACGCGACTGCACGTCGGGGTTCGCTGCGCTGCGTTGGGATGTGCTGCATTGCGTGGGGAGGTGCAACCGCATGGGATGTGCCACTGCACGGGGTGTGCTGCACTGCATTGGGATGTGCTGCACTGCATCAGGACATGCAACCCCACGTCGGGATTCCCTGCACTGTGTTGGGATGTGCTGCACTGCGCCAGGACACGCGGAGCCACGTCGGGACACGCAACCCAGCACGGGGATTCACCGTGCCATGCGCTGTGTGGTGCCATGTCAGGACACGCAGCTCCGTGTTGGGATGTGCAGCACCGTGTTGGGAAGTGCAGCACCGTGTCAGGACACGCAGCCCCACGTGGGGATGTGCCATGCCAGGCTGCATGGCACCCTGTCAGGACACACGGCACCGTGTTGGGACACGCAGCCCCACGTGGGGATGTGCCATGCCAGGCTGCATGGCACCCTGTCAGGACACACGGCACCGTGTCGGGACACGCAGCCCCACGTGGGGAAGTGCAG